CCGGACAGCAGAGAATACTCTTAAAGTGCGTTGCTCGTGTCGGTTGACGGCGGTGTGTTTCGGAGGATGTTCTTTGCCGTTTGCATGTTGATTGGGTGACGTTTTACAGCATGTCATTAGCGTTTGTGCTTGTGCATTCAGCTCATAGTGAAGGCTGCTGACTCGTTCACTGTTGAAGATTACCGGTGTGTTGCTTCTGGTCTTTCTGCCTGTGAAGCAGGATCCAGTCGTTGGTGGTAAACCTCCCCGTAGCCCCATCTTGTCCCGGAGGTCCTATCTGTCCCACATTAGAGGTCGAAGGGTAGGGGGGCATGTCTTCATTCAACCATGCTCTTACTGTACTCTTGTCTCTTTGCAGGAAGGACATCTTTAGAAACATCCGCATCATTCACGACTGACCACAACACATACATACTAAAGTGTGCTGTTTTTCAAATACAGTGTCATTTTCCTTTTTAAGAAAGGATGAATTGTAGTGTTTTCTGCCGTGAGTGTTTGTGGTCACACCTCTGGGGATAAAATTACAGCTTATTCATCATCAGTGACACCCTGAGACAAGTCTCTCCGTTTAACATCGTCACACCCGATAGAAAAGCCTTTCAAATGCAAGATTTTGACTTTCTGTCTGTTTCTGTCTCTCTCACAGCGATTGGTTCAGGATGCACTCCATGGTGGAGGAGATCCGTAAGTTCTTCTTCTAACTATTCCACTGGTTTGCTGTTACGCAAGAAAAAAAATACATCTCTTGTATGTATCTATATTTATATATCTTGTGCTAAACTGATATACATGTGTGCAGTAATTGTAATCAAGGAATACTTGCTGAACCATGTCAAGTGTAAGTTTTTACATTTGCTTTATTGGTATAACGTTTTAAACACAAACAGAAAAAAAAGGTTGTCATAGTACGCACAACAGAAAAAAAGTGACATTACGCAATACTGCAGAATAGCATGAGCGTCAGTTCACCATCAGTGTTCCTAACACAGGTACCAGGCCGTGTACAACTACCTGCCTCGCAACGAGGACGAGCTGGAGCTGAAGGAGGGCGACGTTGTAGACGTGATGGAGAAGTGTGACGATGGCTGGTTTGTTGGTAAGAGGAGGAGAACACAGGGTTGTTGTTGTTTATTAGGCACGCAGTTATGATACTAGATGAATATATCGGACAGATCAGCTGGGCAACAAATGTACACCATGAACAGCTGGTCGAACAGAAGCTGTTACCGTCTACACAGGGCTCGTGGTCTGCAGTCCACTAGATGGCGCTGTGATCCCATCACATATTCAGAACTTCAACATTATTCTTCACAGCTGAGCAGGTCTGATAGCCCTGAGAATGTGTTTGTTAATCTGAAAAAACTCCTAAGATGTTCTCATGCGACTCAGTTTGATCTCCAGCTCTGGTGGGTTTCCAGATTGCAGTGAGCTGTAATAATATTAGTGACAGCTACTGCCAAGTTTCAAGCACTGACGATCTCATTTTACTGCTCTTTGTTTCTGAAGGGACCTCTCGACAGAGCAAGTTGTTTGGAACCTTCCCAGGAAACTACGTAAAGCAGCTATAATGATGATTCCAGACCCCGCCCCTGGCTCCGCCCCCTTTCTGTGACAACTTCTTCGCACACAGCACTCGCAGGACGCCACCCTCCCAGAGACCTGTCGCACATTAATGTGTTTGCGTGCATGTGTGGCCTCGTCAGCTTCACACGGACACAACCTTTAGCTCTAACTAGCCATCTTTAATGGAAGACTTCTTTAAAAAAAAATAATGTCGTTTTTTTTTTTAATCTTATCTTTTTATCCTTATTTTTCTATCATGGAGAACCCAAACTTTGTGCTCCAGTCAGCGACCTTTTAACTTTTGACTGTGATGGAAGCATATGGAAGGAACTTTGCGAACAGTCAGTGATAGACAACAGGGCACCGCTGTGATGCTTCTCTTTCTGTTAAAAGGGCAGTGAGATCACCACCATCACCTCTTTTTATTATTTTTTTTTATTTGTCTTCAGTTTGTTTCAAACTAAAAAAAACACTTGTTACATTTCATTTCAGTGTTCAATTACAAATATCCCCAAAGACATTCAGTGCAGAGAGTGTTTGTAGAAACAGTGTTCTGTCAGCAGGTCTGTTGCATACCAGCTGTGTTGAAGGGATTGCAGCCATGCAGCCGGTATTTCAGGTAAAAGGATGTGAAGTCCCAAACGTACATGTGGAAAAATACTTTGCATGTATCGATGTTATGTGTCGCCCAATGTATTGATCGGATGATAAGAATTTGGGGATATGAAAGACGATCATTATTCATTATCAAGCAATCGTTTCAAATATTTCAAATATTCAATAATGTAGAAGCGTGAAAAAGTATCATTGATTCCTGCACTTGCTGTCTAAACCTGATCTAATAGCTTTAAATTATAAGATTAGGAAACAAAAATATCTTCAGCCTGTTGGTTCTTCATCTTCACACTAGGATTGATGCACTTTAACGAAACTTTTAACACAATTTAGTGTTTGTTTTATCTCAAATTTCACTTCAGATTGTACACAGTAGGTGTTATGACTGTGGACGTGACCAGCACTTCCGATGTATTGGTCACGTTTAAAAAGCGTGTGCAAAGAGGTTACCGACCTTTTAGGTATTATATTTATTAGAGGACAAGTGCTGGTCGAACTGTGTTATAAGACGATTTTAGAAAGGACGGAACAACACGACGCTTTTCTAACATCCCGCGTGTTATTTTATTGTGTCGAGTGTCATTGTCCAGATGGGTGCTGAGTGACAAACAACACAATAGTTCATGGGCTGTAATGGTGCCAGGTGTCACAATGTTTTATGTTGAGTTATTTAAGTCACATGCAGGAAGACATGACATTTGATCAAACACTTGAGTCATGTAACTGCAGTTTTTCCACGAGACTTTGGTGGTATCTTTGAAAACCTGGTGTCAGACTGAGTGCTTCACTCTTTCATGTTCTATACCATTTGGAATTATCGGCCCTTTTAGCTTGTCATGCTCAGTGAATATGATTAATGTGTTTTTATTTTTCTCATTGTATGTGTTTCACATAGGATGGACACTGACAACAAAACAATTGTTAAAGCACCTTAAGATATATTTTGTTTTATCATTCACCGTCTTTCACGTCACCCCGTCGTCCACGATTTCAGTTGGTGTGAGGACACTGTGTGTGTGAGTGTTTTTGTGTAAGCTTTTTGTATGAGAGCTGTAAAATGGCCAACATCCACTTGCTTTATAAAGTCAGCTTTTTCTCACCCACCATCATATTTGGTTTCCTCTCCTTCTTTCTTCACATTCTTCATCAGTGGTGCTAATTTCCACATTTTCAAAGTTATTATTGTAGCCAGGCATGTAGGCCTTTTTTTTCCTCCCTCCAGTTCTTCGTTGTTTTAAAAGCCAGTGACATATTTAAACTGAAGTTACTGTAGTTAGTGAGTAGAGTTGGTGATCGCTGCCTTACATCCAACTCAATTATTTACTAGCCATGTATATGTAAACCTCTTCTGTGATGCAAAAACTTTAATTTATGCATATATAGTGTAGAAAACGTCAGGAACGTGTGCACAGAATGATCACAAACTACAGTGTTGAAACTTACAGCAATCCTCTGGTCTGCCTTTGATACAACATGAAGAACAGATTTGGATTGAAGACATGAATTTGACTCCTGCTATGTTTATACATGTAATGAAAATGTTAATCTTATATGTTATTGGTGTTAATATCAAATTCGATGCACACTCTTGGACCTAAGTATTTCTACAATATCTTAGCATTTCTTGGATGATTTTATGGGGGCTGTATTGCTAATAAAATCCAGCTGGTAGATGAAATATTTCCAATGATTTTGTCCTTTCAGCTTAAACAGGAAGACAACTTCAATCGTTGATGACTGAAAAGTAAAATCTCATCTGTGGTGTTTAAAGGTACGATTCAGAGATTTCATCCCCTTTCCTAGAATTTTATTTTAAGCACGGAGGTGACGTTATACACGTCTAAGTTCTCTCACAGTTCCACACATGGACTGTTGGTGGCAGTGGTGTGCAATAAGAGAACAACTGTGATTACCTCGAAAACTCCAAAGGGTTGCAGGTTATATTTTAAAATCTATCTAAATCCTTGTTATTACTGACCACCAGTCCTTTGGACCATCTCTCAGTACGTTAGGACTCCCCTACTCTGTCTTGTAGCTCCATGCCCATTCTGAAACAGATCATGTTAGTAATAGAGGGCTAGTCATTTTCTCAACTGCTTGGCACTGCAGTTTTTAGCAAAATTACTCAAACAAGTGTAAATAGTGTGTTTGCTTTTGTGTCTGCTTTTGTTGCAGGTGAGAATTAGTCGCAGAGAGAATAAGTGTAAAAAGGGAAACTCTTAACATGTCTGCAAAGAGAGAGAGAGAAAGTTTGAGTATGCTTCACCATGAACTTCCCCTTATTTGTCAAGGAGTTACATCATCATGGTCACTGCAGAAACAAACCATGAATCTGGTCCACTTCAAAACGCATGCATAGAATGACGCTTTACGCAGCTGATGGATTTTTACGCAGCTGATTAATTTGCACAACTGTTTTAACTGGCACTTTGATTCAGTTACATGATGGAAAAACTCAGAGCGAAAGCCTATCGGTGTTGATACAGCCTCGCTCACACTTTGTTGACAATTTGGCAAAGAGAAAAGATCTCCTCAGCTGGCAGGAATAAAACACTGTGATCATAAACAAAGAGCAGAGTAAATAAGGTTTTTGTAGATGAGAGGAAATCTTTTGAGAGATGAAAAATAACTCATTTTAACGGCCAACACAAAGAGAGACAATGTGTTGAAAACGGTGTTGAAACTGGATTGTTGACAAGCTCAGGGGTGAGAGTCCTGGGTCCCATCCAGATCAATAGTGGCTGGAATGTGCCTGTGGGACCTCCAGGGCCTCACAGTGGAGCTGCGCCTCCAGACCAAATAAGGACAGGAGCAGCAAGACTCGTCAACCAGAGAGAGAGAGGAGGCCAGCCAGACTGTGAGCTGGTTTACATCCTCACTCTGTCTACAAGTGTCCATGTAGGTATTCGCAGACGTGAGCCAAAACTGGATTTATTTAGGACGACTGAAGCCTGTGTAGCACCTGATTTATCAGGCAAAATATTGCTTTCTATTTTGAGAGAGAAGTAGTAACAGAGAAAAGAAGAACTAAGAAAAAGTGCTCAACAGATACAAGAAGACCGTCAAGCAAGTGCTGGTAGAACAGTCTGGGAGTCAGTTCCCAAAATCTGACCAATTACTTCACTTCTGGGGTGGGGTCTGTCCATTCTCCTCCCCCTGCACCCACCCACATGGGTTCAAAATCTGCATCACTTTGATATCCCTCTGCTCTTTAACTTGGTTCCCCCTCTGCGTGCAGTTTACTGTCAGTGCTGTTGTTCTCCAACAGAGCGGGGAGACATTAACGGGTCATGCCACTCAAAGTCGTGTTGGTCGGTCCGGCCCCCTGGGGGTTTCGCCTGACAGGAGGAAAGGACTTCAACCAGCCCCTGACCATCTCCAGGGTGAGTGAGTGATAGGAGGTCGCCATTATTAATAACTTGACAAAAAGAGAAAACCTTTCCACAGCTTTTACCAGTCTTCACTGTTGGTTGATCATTTGCTTATCAAGGATTTGACAATGTTTCTACTGTCAGCAGCCAAGTGTCTAAAATGTGAATGTGCTTTAATCCTTTGGTGGTCCAGTGTTCAGGAGTCAGTGTTGCCAATAGCTTCAACATTGCGTGTCCAGGAGGGTTGGTTCTAGAGCTGGTGTGGGGCTTGCACCTGTGCCACAGTAAATGCAAGAGGCTTAGATACAAATAGCAACGTACATTGTACTCTGACATGTGCACACACACACACACACTCTCACACACACACACACACACACTCAAATGTCTCATCGAGTGGATTTCAGACTGGAGTATAAAGGAGTGCAGTGTGCTCATCAATTCAAACAAGAAAACTGGTGAAAAACATGGAAGAAAAAGAAAGGTAGAGTCCTCCAGATGTAGAAAATCTTTATTTTTTTAAATCAACGCATTCGTGAGCTGAGTCAATAAATAGAAAAATGAATTCGTTAGAGAAGATGAGCAGAGTGTCACATATGCGTCACTATATGTCTAGTATGATGGTGCAGCTATTCAAAAGCTTGCAGACAGTCAGTCAGCTTGAGGTCAAAACGCAGCATCACGCAGCTCGTCATTATTGTAGACTGACGGCACAGGCAGAGCTGGGAGATGACAGATTACATGTGTAAAACTAAACGGGACTGGAATTCATGAGAGACTCATAGTGACCAAGTTACAGACACTTCGGATGGTCAAATGATCTATCACAAAGGACAGCTGCGTCGATGGCTGTCGATTCAGATGGAAATTTGCTTCATCTGTTGATGAAATGATGATTTCCTGAAACTAATGTGGTATTTCCTGTTTAAACAAATTACCACCAAGTACCTGAATCACGTGAAAAAAAACAAGACGGTAACTGATAAAAACTTATCCCATTGAAAGGAGTAGTTTAGTTCAGCTTGCGAGGGGAAAATATGTAGACGGTTAGCCTAGCTTAGCACAAAGACTGTCGGCAAAGGGAAGGCAAAGACAACAAATCAGCACCTTCTAAAGCTCACTAATTCACACTAATTAATTGAAGAAAAGACAAAGGAAGGGGATCAATTAATAATTAGAGAAAAACAAAAAAATATATGAACAGTAGTGTGTTAATCAGCAGTCAGGCTTTGAGTGCTGTATCCCCGATGTCACACAGGATCAGATGTGAGGAGACCCAGTAATCCCGCTCTCTGTTGGGGTTATGTGTGTCTATATTTAGGGGAAGACCTCAGGAACTAGTGACTAAAAGCATATGTCTCTAAACCACTGGCTCCGTCCAATAACCCCCACAGCTGTTGTGTTAGTCGACACTGTGATGAAAGGGATGAACGAGGGAGGAGAGGAATCTGGGAGGGTAAACGATATGTGAGGAGTAACACAAGAAGCAATGTGGGGAAATGCACTTGTAAGGGAGATATTCAGTAAAGACAAAAAAAGTGAAAAGCTCTGATATACCTGACTAAACATCTCACCAATACAGGCGCTGAACTCTCAGGCTTTATTTAAACACAAATGTCTCCCTTCACTGCCTTTTTTGGTCAAGGAACATCCTCCTCTTTATGAACGGCCGGTGTTCCCAGCTGGTCGAGGAAAGTAAACACAAGCGATAATCATCTTTTCCCTCAGCAGACAGCGGCCTTAAAGGGGCACGGTGCCGAATTTAATCATTTACACGTCATTTTATAACCCCGGTGACGTCATCAGAGTTATTTTAGCTTGAGCGTGGAGACTATACATTTTTAACAATAAAGGTCTTTGCACGCTGGGAGCGTAACAAATTTACTCCCCCCAAGACAATCCTGATTGGTTTAAAGAAATACAATCTAACCACAGTGTTTTATTTCCCTATAGAAGAAAGATAATGTGTGGAGCCAGACAGCTCTTTAGCCTCTGTTGTATTGATTTTGTCTGTTCTTTTTTTAATCTGTCTCCTGCAAGTTTCCCAACTTTAAAGTTGTATTAACTTTTTAACCCTATCTTTAATTTTTATTTTTATTTTTTGCCAGTTGTGGGCAGCGCTACAAGCTCTAAACACAGTGTTAGAAAATGGTTGCCTATCTGGCTCTTTAGCAGCTAAATGCTCCACTATGTTCAGCAGCTAGTCGCTAAAACTGTTTGGCTGCAGAGTCAAGTGATAAGAGTTCTTAATTAGTTTGTCACTAACAGTGACCCCTTTTTACTTTACAGTCATTCGATCTAGTGTTGATGAATGCAGCTTTAAATACAGTACTAGCTTGAATACTGTATATGCTCCAACACAGCAAACATTGTGACCTGCCAGATTAGTTTCCCTAGTTCTGTTCTTATTCATGGATAGCTTATTATTGAAACTGGATTCTCTCTTTCCTTTTTGAATCCCTCACTTCATTCCTTCTTTGCATGTTTTTCTTAAACTACATATACCTACATTTCTATATTGTACTCAAGTATCTTGAGTAACAGAACAGTATTGGGTTTTATCTTGTTTCTTCTTCAGCTTGTGGGATTTTCATGCGAGCAGGTCAGTTGAAGAAGGAAGGACAGATGGGGAGAAAAGGAAATAAAAGGGGGAGAACAGGCAAAAGAAGAAGAAGAAAAGAGACAGAAAGAAAAAAGGAAAAGATGGCAGAAATTCAAACAAAGGCAAATGTTTTGACGTGACAAGTGAGCTGCGTGTAAACGAAATAATCCAATAAAAAGCATAGTCGTCCACAGATTCAGGTAGCAGACATCCGAGCAGTAAAACATATAGTGAGACAGCAGCCCTTCAACAAATGCTCCACTGTAAATCACTGCTCCCTCTTTGGCCGCATGAGCCATCCCCTCAGCACTTTCATCCACAGTTATTTATAGGCAGATGACCTAATTCAAGTTTCAATGCAACATCCCAGCTATAACCCGTAATGCAATATGGCTGAGTATAGGTCATGGCCTGTATAGTGTAAGTGCGGGAATGTTCAGTTGGGTTTGAAGTTGCCTCCTAAGGTATTTTTCTGTGACCCTGGTTGCTCTCCGAGAGTTCTTCTTAATCTTGGTCACTTCCTGGCCAGCGGAATACATATTCCATCTGGATGCTGTCACTTAAGCAGCGCATGTTTACTTTATCTCCATGACAAGGGACAGGCAGTTTACACGCATGCATACCAACCAGCTCGATCTGCATCTCAGGGATCAACTAGTGTTTGGCAGAGTGCATGTGGTGGAAAAACAATGGCAGATTTAGGTCATGAACGGTTTCCTGTTATGAGTTTGACTGAATAGCTGGGCTTCTTAGTGGGGTCTGTGTTTTGTATTTAGCAGGAGTATTTAGGCCAGGTGAGGCTCTCTGATCCCAGCAGGGGAACATGAACAAGGGGCCTTCCAGTTGAGTTGTGCATTAAGAGATGAAGTGCCAGTGATGGAGAAGAGACCATAGCTTTGCACAATGCTGCCCTACCCGTACATACAGGACCGTTTGAATGGGATTTATAGAGGCAGAGGGTTTTTTTCCTCTGGGATTCACTCTAATATCAGTAAGAACAGTCCAACCTCTTATGAATTCACATACCTGTAATATGGAAGGGTTAATAAATTGAAAAAAAGAATGGAAGAACAACTTAACAATAGGGTTTTTCCAGAGCCCCAGATTGAATTATACAGGATTAAACGGGAAAAAGCTTTTAAAACACAGATTAAATGCTGCACAGTGACAGCAATGTTTTTTTCAAGGCCTTAAACTAATATTTAGTAATGTAAAAAAGGGGGGAGGATTAATTAGCATAGGAATAAAAAAAAATACAATTAAATACAATTTATAAAAAAATAAGAAATAGAAATAATTAATTTTTTTATTTGATTTATTTCTGTTATATATTCTTTTCTTCTACCCACTTCCAGATCACCCCCGGCAGTAAGGCAGCCGTAGCCAACTTGTGTGCCGGTGATGTCGTCCTGGCCATCGAGGGATTCCCAGCCACAGACATGCTGCACAGCGAAGCCCAGAACAAGATAAAAGAGTCAACCCATCAGCTCGGTCTTACTGTTGAAAGGTTATATGCAGCAACAAAAAGCATGCACACAAACAGGTGGTGGACACAGTAGAGGCAACACCTGCTCAGTATAATGGAATGTAATACATTAACCTTGCAATATCTGTTTTTAAAATCCCGTAATACATGCTGATACTGTGCAGCAGTGGTTCCTAACCCTTTTGGCTCGTAACGAAGGTTACAAAACTGTAACCCCAGTTTCTATTTGCACAGGCCGAGCCCTCTACTGGACTTTATGCGTAATACTCTCCTCCAAGCAGGAGCACGTGTCTGGAGCTCCCCCTCCCCCTTGGTAAAATGTTCTGCCTGTGCTTATAGAACTAGAGTTACAGTATCGTGACCCTCGCTCTAACTCACACAGGCTCTCTACTGGACTCTATGGGTACAGTTGGCGTACCCATAGAGTACCCATAATTTGGAGGTGTAATGAGTCAACATTGTCCAGTAATGAAAGTCAGAGAAAAATAAGCATAATTGTATGTGCCTGTTAATCGTCTCACGACCCGTCAGATTGATCTTTTCATCCCTCTGTGTTGCTGCCGAGTGTGGACAACTTACTGATCTTCATATTACTGTGTTCTATGGTTAGAATGCGAGAATTACTTCTTAGTCTTTTTTGTACCAACAGGAAATGATACAAGAAGTGTGCCGACATCGGTCAAATGGCTGTTATAGAGAACTTGTGTTTCTGGAGCTTTACCTCTATACCATCTGAATTTAGTTTGAATCTTTTCCAGCTGTGAGCACCTTACACCTTTCTTTTGTGGGTTGCATTATGGGACAGTAGTATCCAACAGCACATTCAGCAATCTGGTGAATTTGAACTCTACCTTAATTGTGTCACTTTAAGCTCAAACCACACTTCAAAAAGTTAAAATAGTTTCCCATGGTATGACCAACATGTGAGCAGATGTTTAAAGCTCAGTTTTGATATTTTCTAGGTCTGGATTATAGACAACTCACACACACACACACTCACAGACTCATGAACAAAGTAATTCAACAGCCGTTAGTAACGTTGTGGTGACCTTCTGACCAGAATCTGTTTTTATAATTTCCAGGAATGAATCGAGACTGTGGACACCACGTGTTGTGGAGGACGGCAAAGCTCACCCATATAAAATGAACTTAGAAGCAGAGCAGCAGGTTTGCAAGAGAGTTGGAGAAATGACCTCACATTTCTTAAAGATTATAGTTTTGATTCACATCATCATCACATAGTTGTCTCGATAATGACCTTGCTTCCTTCTCCTCCCTACAGGAATACAAACCTATTGGCACGGGTCACAACCGGAAAGCTCAGCCATTTGTTGCGGCAGCGAACATCGATGACACGCATCAGGTGGTCAGTTCAGCCTACAACACCCCGATAGGCCTGTACTCCTCAGGCAACATCCAGGACGCCATGGAGGGCCAGATCCGAGGCCTGGCTCTACCCAAACCTGAGAGGTGATGGTTCTCACTCGATCTGCAGCTTAAACATGCCAGTCAGGCTCTTTCAAAGCCCTGCATCAATATCTTAAAAAGGCAAAACAGTCTGTCATTTTGACATATATGTGAGAGAGTCAGCCGGCTCTAATGTCCTAATGAATAACATTTACATCACATCCAGCCAGTGACTGACAATTCTGAATAAGACATCAAAGCTAAGTCATGTCAGCCAATACAATACAGACTCACTCTACATCACCCTGATTTCATTGTAAAGCATTTACAACCACTAGAACCAACCAACTAGAGATAATTATTATTTAATAGCACACAATAAGAAAAGAAAAAATTGCAATATGTCTGAAAAAGAGCATGCTGTTAAACTACATTAAAATATTTCATTCATCCTCTTTTCCTTCTCATTTTTCTTGATGTGGTCCAGTTCATGGATTTTCTTACTCATCCCACATTCAGCATCTAAACCTTTTTTCTCCTTTTGAGTTTAAGTTTGACTCACCGTGTTGAAGCTCTGTAATCTCCAGCTGGTTGTTCTCACCCGATGCAGTTAAGATTGCAATGCATCATTTCTGCCACTAGCATGAATCCCTCTTAATAAAACTGACTCAGTGCGGTCTGGGAACAAGACGTTGAATTTGTCACTGTCGTAGCATATTGCCCTAAGCAGTGCTGTGTCATAGAAAGTAGCGGTGGAGGAAGTATATCTACTCAAGTACCTGCACTTCCATTTTATGCAACTTTACACTTCTAGTCACAGTGGAATTTTTTTTACTTTTACTCCACTACATTTGTCTGACAGTTTATGTTATTAGTCTTTTTTCAGATTTTTCATTAGTTTAGTTTAGTTTATTTTGCACAATTAAAAAAAAAACATAACAAAGAGAAATAATATCACGGTGCAGGAAGTGGCAGAAAACGCACTGGGCTTGATGGAAGCCTCTACCTATACGTATATATATATATATAATATCATAATTTCACAATATTATAGAGAGCACAAAATGAATATACATAATTTATGACTACATAATATTGATGACAACATATTTTAACAAGATATGATGTATAATAACAACATAGGATCAGAATACTTTCACAATTGAATGGTTGAGTGTGCATTTGTGTGCATCCTGACCAGGTATTGTACTTGTATGTGTGTGTGTGTGTGTGTGTGTGTGTGTGTGTGTGTGTGTGTGTGT